GCGACCGTCCTCAATCTTTGTCATAAAAGCGGTAACTTGAAGCACTGTCGCACACGCTTCCGGATTCGTTCAACAACACGATGTCAACTGCGTACTTAGCTTCCGTTGCGAGTACCGCCGAGTATCTGAAGCTGCGTCGCTGACTAAAGGCCAGTCCCTCCTTGTTGCCTGAGGAGACGAAGCACTTCAGCATAGTTCCCTACGAAACTGAATGACAAAGGAGGCAACACCTCGTCTTGACGAACTCCGCTAATAATATCGAATCAGTCTTGAAGTGATCGTTTGGTTCAGACTCCGCATTTGTCCCCTCTTACAGACCTTCCATCATCCACTTTACATCGACTGTGGAATTCAGTAGTGACGAATAACACGCCATTCGTCTGACGATGAACCGAATCGTTTAAATATCAGCAGCGATCGTCATATGATTAGAGCAGTGGCTGCCATAGATAATAAAATCAAAAAGTACTTTTAGTGTATATGAGTGAACTGTGGCGCTCAACTACGACGGTGTTAAATGGTAGGTACTCTTCCATGAATGGTAGGCCATTTCGAGCAAGCCATATCTCGTTCATGCATCGCATTGTTTGTCGCCGGGTCGTTGCACACAGACGATGGCGACATTCCATTTTGAATTTCTGCAGCAGTTGCGGGCATGAATCTGCGAACAAGCGAGACTTTCTACGGCAGATAATCATACTGTTGAGGACGAGGGTTCGTGAGTTCGATGAAGTTGCATTTTTAGTGAAATCATATCACTCGATTACGAAGAACCCCATCTCTGTTTCTCCATGTCGAAGGCTTGGAAGTTGCTTCAATTACAAAAACAATATCCTTGCATACATGTCTATGGATTAAAAGAGTTATGCATAAATTAAATTAGTGAAGAAAATGCGTAGAACTAGCACTGAATAATGCGTCAGAATTCATCGATCCATTAACATATTACGTTTAAGAACAAATAAAATACACAGTAATAATGCAATGAAAAGAGAATGATGAACACGTAATATACTGATGAATAGGAAATTAATGCAGGTGAATAGCTACGTGTATGATTTAACATGAGACAATCGATTCGAACAGATAGTGTGGCTTAATAGCGATGAATTTTCAAACTTGCATGAAAAACTGAAAGCAGGTTCGCATATTTACCTTTCTGTGAAATATTCGAAACCATTAAAACAATATTGACTGAGCATCTTGACGCTTCATAAAGCCTGGTTGATCTTATTCAACCGTGACACTCGTTTTCCCCAGAAGGCGGGTTTAAGACTGGCGATCAGTAGCGATTTTACGTGACTCTTTGTTTTTGACTCCAGTACCAAATACGAGCCGTATAGCAGCCAAATGAGCACAGCCACACTTGTCTCATTAAATTATCATAGCGAAATTCATCAATCGCTGCCCATCACTAGTGGCTGTGAACAGTTAAATGACAAGTATGACCTTAATCCATAGAACTGCCGTTAACGATCACCAGATGACTGACAGTACCCGCGCTTTAATAACTGGTCTCTAGTAACGTACGAATGAGCAGTCAAATTGGCTCAGCGATTAATCAGCGAAGGATGTCATATGTCGAAGGATATATGGGTAATTCGCTGGAGTATTATGGCAGGTTATTGCAAGTCAATTCAGATGGCTGTCTTTTATGGCTATCCTTAAAGTAAACACCTTGTGTTGTAAAAGCGGCTGTCATTAAGAAAATTTTATTTACACCAATTCAAACAGAAGCTACAAT